TAACGTCAATATGTGCTAAGGGAACGAAGCCCATGCGAAAATAATCAAATTATATCGAAAATCCCGAAATTTGTCCAACCCGACCCCCGGGCCCGCATCTGGAAATTTGATAAAATCTCATCAATAGAATCCTTATCCTCCCACGAGTCCATACATACAAAGAACATCAAAATCCGACCACAAACGACCCCTCAAATCCCTAAAATCAAAGTCTCCAATTTCAAACCCTAAACCCCTAATTTTTCACCCTTAATCTCACAAATTTCATGCTTAAACAATTAACAATCATCATAGAATCGAGTTTTAGGTCCAAGAAACTCACCTCAATGAAAACCCCCTTGATTCCCTCTTCAGAATCTCCCAAAAAGCTTCAATCCCGGATAAAAATGGTGGAGAACAAATAAAATTTTGCGAAGGAGAACATATATACTTTCTGACCCAGGGATTTCGCACCTGCGGTCCTTTTTCCGCTCCTGTGATACCGCTTCTGCGGCCAAACCAATCGCTTCTGCGGTTTTCACTTAAGGCCTGGGACCGCACCTGCGCCTCACTTATCGCACCTGCGGTCTCGCATGTGCGTCCAACCTTCCGCACCTGCGACTTCTGATCTTCTAGCACATGGCCGCATCTGCGGCTTCTCTAACGCTTCTGCGATCTCGCACCTACGGTCCCCAATCCGCAGGTGCGGTTATGACAGGAACTCAGCAGCTTCAGCTGCAAATTCTAACTTCCAACTTCTCAATAACAATCCGAAATCACCCCGAGGCCCACGGGACCTCAACCAAAAGTACGAACAAGTCATATACCACTATTCAAACTTATACCAATCTTCGGAAAACTTAAAACAACATCGAATCATCAAAACACCCTCGGATTCAAGCCTAAGGATTTCAAAATTTTCGAATTCCGCATTCGATCAAAAAGTCCATCAAACCTCGTCCGAATGACCTAAAATTTTGTACACACGTCACAAATGACATAATGGACCTACTACAACTTCCAAAATTTCATTCCTACCCCGATATCAAAATTTTCGCTATCAATCGGAAAACGCCAAAATTTCACTTTCGCCAATTCAAGCCTAAATCTACTCCAGACCTCCAAAATACATTCCGATCACGCTCTCAAGTCCCAAATCACCTAAATAAGCTATCCGAACCATAAAAACCAAATTCCGATATCGTTTTCACACAAGTCAACTTTCGGTTGACTTTTCCAACTAAAATACCAACTTAAGAGACTAAGTGTCTCTTAACACTCCAAAACTACTCCAAACCCGAATCTACCGACACGATACGATGAAATGAAGCTGAACAACACATAAAGAAGCAGAAATAAAGAAAACAGAGCGGTAACTCATGAAACGACCGGCCGGGTCGTTACATAAGCTTATTGTTACTCCATATGAGGTCATTAATGTTGTTTTGCTACTTACCTTTTCCCTTTATCAGTTTGGTGATATTTTCTTTTTTCAATTTCAGATCTTCGATACACTAGATTTTGAACGTTGTGAGATCAATTAGTGTGAAGGAACACTTCATCAGAAACTCATGGATGCTGAAACTTTAAATTGCGTTGGTGTATTTAAAAATTATAAGAGAAACGGAAAAGGGCCAAATATACCCCTTTACTTTCAAATATTCTTTACTTCTACCCTTCGTTATACTATTGGGCTATCCATACCCCTACCGTCATACTTTGTAGCAATATTGCCCTTAATTTGGACGGAGTACCACGTGGCAGCTCCTGAATAAAACTTCCCATTTTATTTTATACCCGATCCGCTACCCACTTAAACCCCTAACCCGACCCAATTAAAACCCAACCCACCTTAAAATCTACGAAAGAAACACACGAAATACACCGCGAAACTTATCCTTCTCCCCTCGTTAAAACATATCCCCAAATCCAAAAACTAGGCTTCCTCATATTTCAAATTCTGGGTTCTTTCAGTTCGTTTATGTGATTCTTAAGGGCATCTCCAACCTTTACCCCATTTTTGGTCCCCAAAATGGGGATCATTTCCCTATTTTGGGGACAACTTACTCCAACCATTCCCCCATTTTTTTCCCAAACTTTTTTTATATTCTTCTATATTATATTATTATCTTTCATTTCAATTTTATTTTTTAATTTCCATTAATCAAATTTCATCTTTTATTTTTATTAATTTATAATTTCCATTAAAACAATTCCATAAAATTTCAAATAAATTTGTAAGCAATTATTATAGATTAACTAATAATTCAAATAAAAGTGAAATCATTGCGATACAAGATTAATTAAATACATATTACATAACGATAAAATTCATTCGAAATACTACATAAATATTCAACTTCAACCTCTAATAAAATTAACTTACAATTTTACGTAAAAATAATAAATGCACAAAAATTAATTTATCAAAATTATACGCCAAAGTTAAGATATAAAATTAATATTATAAAGATATTCCATAAATATAATTAGGTATATATAAAGAGATAAATTAAAAGATTAAATAGTAAAATAATAATAAAAAATACATGAATAGTAATGGGGGAGATGAATAGTGTACCCCCATATTTGAGGGAACAATATTCATCCCCCATTTTGGGGACAAAAATGGGGGAGGGTTGGAGCTTCATTACCCCAAAAATTGCCTCCATTATAGAGAAATGGGGTAAGGTTGGAGATGGCGTAAGGTCTCTCTTATCTTATTTCTTTTAATTTTCATTGGCAAGATTATATTTTAATCTGCAAAAGAAGTTGATAATGTCAGAAAGTAGCTGCTCGTCCAAGAGGAGGTGTCATTGCGGAAATTGTTCACTTATTCACTTCAAAAATTTCTTTTAACCCCGGAAGGAGATTTTATAAGTGTCCTAAGTCTGAAGTAAGTGCTATGATTAAATGTGTTATTTCTTTTATATGAAAAGATTTTTGGTTTCCCTCATGGATTTAATAGTTGATAATTCGAAATTCTAATTTTTTTTTGGGCAGGCCGATTCTTGTGGATATTGGGAGTGGCATGACGAAGTATTCCCCGATAGAGCATTGGTGGTGATAAGTAATCTAAAGGCTCAATTGGATGCAACTACGGTCAAAATCAATACTTTGAGTACGACGTTGGATGTGGTTAAGATTGAAAGAGATAAGTTAAAGAAAAAGATGAAGACTATGGAGACTATAAACAATTCCCGAGTGAACAAAGCAAGGGAATTAGAAGAGAAATTTATGAAGTTGAAGATGTTTATAATGATTTTTTATGCGATGTTTGTTGGATTTATTGCCGCGTTATTGTTGAAGTGATGTAGTTTGTTAGGTTGTATGAATTCTCAAGTCTTTGTAATATTAGTTTGAAGGCTGTGTTTTGAGTTCTCAAGTTAGGTTGTATGAAATCAGTGTTTTGAAGCTGTTTTGACTCCCATATCTTTAATTTTGAGGTTGTTTTAATCTGTTCTTTGCACCAGTTTAATCTATGTTTGAAGGCTGTGTTTGAGGCTATTTTAACCGTGTGTTTTGAATAGAGTAATTAGTAGAAGACATCAAGAATAGAGTAATTAAACCACTTATATGTGTTCTGCAGTAAATAAGCACAACAAAGAGTACTGTGCAGAAGTAGTCCAGAAGCAATTATATGTGTTCTGGATTATATGTGTTCTGCAGTGTCTTAACAACATAAGCAGTCCAGAAACTTAACACATAATAAGTTACATAGTACTGCTAGAAAAAATTAACCAAAGTAATAAATAAGCAGTCCAGAAGCTGCTAGTCCAGAACCTAATCAGTAATTAACCAAAAAAGTACTGTCATATGCAGTAATTACAAAACAGTATTGTCATAAGCAGTAAATACATCACCAAATTAACCAACCAAAACACAAACTAGTGCAAATTAACCAAAAGAGTATTGTCATAAGCAGTAGTTACAAAATAAAACAGTCTTAAACATTAATAAACTACTGAAAATGTCCCTTCTTTGGCTTTAACTTTCCAATCCTTTTTTGACGTTCAACTTCCAATTGATTTGTAGTCATAGCAGCTTTGCCCTTCCACATTAAGTTGTCTGGTGTATATGGAAGATTTGTTGGAATACTAGCTCCTGTATGGTCACCTCTGAAGCTAATTTGCCTGGTCCCAGTTGGTATAAGATTTTGTTGCCTCTTTTGGAGTCTAGTAAGTGTTTCTGAGATAACCATGGGCCTTAAATCAGGGTCTGCCTCATGCTCATGCTCAGAGCAGGGGTTCTCAAAGTCTAGAAATGAACCCCTACTATTTTGCAATCCTGGAGTAGGCATGAATACATAAGTGTTGCTTTGGCTATCTTGTGAGTGTTGGGGGCTGATAGATTAATGTCTTCTTCGATTGGACCCACCTCTTCTTCATCATTTAAACCCCCGGTAGGCTGTTGCTTCTTTTTTCCTTTAGATACTACTTTTTTTGTTTTGGCTGTTTTGGTTGTTTTGGCTGCCACATAGTAAATTCAATTAGTAAAAGGTTTGAAAAAGTTAATAAAATTTGAATGACTAAAAGTTATCTTGTCACATCCTCGAGCATTGTGATTTGGCTCTCCACAATTACTACAAGTCATTACTCTACCCTTCCTTGAAAGAGACCATTCTCCTTGCCTCTTAAGTGCCTCTTCTTTCTGTCTATCTCTCTTAACCTTAGGCCTTCCAGCTAGCTTGAACAACTCTGGAGGTTCCATTGCTTGAGAAGGGTTAACTTTCCAGAATTTCTCTCCCCTTACAGGTTGCAACTTATGTTTATATGTTAGCAAGAATGCTTCCTTGCTATGGAACCAATGCATTTTAGTTAGAGGATCAACCTTCTTATACAATAAGGCCTTAATTGCATGTGGGCATGGAATTCCAGTGAGGTCCCATGCCCTACAAGTGTACCTTTTTATTCTCAGATTCAAAATATGCTTGTCAGACCCTTCTGATACCTCAAATCCATTATCCCCATTGGAGTCAACTCTACAAACTTGGGCTATCTTCATATATTCATTGTATAGCTTCATTGTTTTAGGACTGAATTCCGACTCCATTTAGTCACCAAATCTTCATGTTCTCTCAATTGATTCATCACTTTGATCCTTATACCCTCGAGCATCCCAATGATAGGCTTGTACCTTTCTTCAAGTATCTAAGCATTAAATGATTCAGTTAGATTATTATCAACTATTTGATTTTTGCACCTTATATCAAAGTAGGCTCTGCACCAATGTTTACATATGAAACAGAAATAAAGTACCTTTTGCATATCCGACATGAATGTTATGCCTTCACCCATCTGGAGTTCCAATGAATGTTGCAATAGCCCCAAGAACCAATTCCAAGTTCTTTTTGTCTCTTTATCTACAATTTCCCAAGCTAAAGGATAAAAGTGGCATATTATCATGACCAACAACTACCAGTAATTGTCCCTTGGATTTTCCCTTAAGAAATGTACCATCTAATCCAATGAAGGGTCTCAAACCTTCCTTAAATCCCATCTTCATTGCCTTGAAGCTAATATACATTCTAAGAAATTTTCTTTTACCTTCGGCAAGTGCCTCTTTAGACAGATTGATTACAACATCACTTCCCGGATTTGAGTCTCTAAGTTCATTGGCATAAGCCTCTAATTTCTTGTAACCATCTGTAAAGCTCCCATCTAAAATTTCCAAAACCATCCTTTTAGCTCTCTTGCACTTTCCTTTACTGGCATTTACCTCAAAAGCTTCTTTTAAATCAGTCCTCATTTCCTTTACCTTAAACTTTGGAATATCTTGTAATTTTTTCTTGAAATAATGAGCTATAGTAGTGTAATCAACCCTAGAGTTGTCATATGATGGACCACACTCATGTTCAAGATTTAGAGTTTTGATTTTCACTCCAGGAGAACCTTTTTCCTCAGAAATATGACATCCAAATGGACACCCTGGAACACATTCATATCTCAACCTATGCTTATCACTTTTAACAACCTCTAACTCTACCTTATTGGCCAAACAATAAAGTTTAATGCACTTCCTTGCTTCTGGTATGTCCTTGAAGGACATACCCTTGAATAATTCTTTGTAATCTTCTAGACCCACAGTAATCTTTCTTTCTTTTGAGTAGCAATTGACTCCAACTCTTCAGAGTCATATTCTGGACAATCAGAACCAGCTTCACAGTCACTCTCACTCTCATTCTCACTACAATCAGTACCAACCTCATTAACTACAGAAAAAAAAATGATTCCGTATGTTGGACAATATTGGGAACTTCTACAGAAGGCTCACATTCATCTACTGCATATATGTTAATGATACGATACTCTTCAGAAACAAGGGACAATAAATTCCTAATCCCATCATCCCCCTTTATTTCATAGTATTTTCCAGAAGGAGCAGTTACAATAAGCTGCTGAATACCTACAAATCCTAACTCTGTAGTGTACTCATTTACTATGTCAATAAAAGATAAAAGATCAGAATCATACCCCGCCAAGTGTGAACCAATTTCTTTGAGTATAGTAGATGTGGTTCTCTTATCCAATCACCACCATGATTGAAGAGTAAGTCAACTTTAACCATTTTATACCCTGCAAACATTTGAGGGGACCACTTATCAAAATAATTTCCAAGTTGTAGTAAAGAATAAAAAATACAACTACTCTGTCCAACTTAAAAGGAACAACAGAATTTAAAACATGAAAGGGGACCACATTGTCTTACTTAAAAAACAAAAAATCAGAGCATACATGAGGAATAAAATAATTAAAAACACTGTTAAATAATTAAAAATAGAAAAGGGACAGCACTGTTATAGATGAAAAACACAAAACGACAGATGAAGAATAAAATACACGATGCTCTATTAAACTAAACCACACATCTCTGAAATTTAACATCCCCAAATTTCTGAACCCCAAAATTATCCGAAACCCAAAAAAATCCAAAAGGACCACCACGTAGAAGTACACATGCAAACAAAACATAACACTAAACCTAAACAATAACACCCTAAATATATACATATACATATATATTGTCGATTTGAACCAACACCTAAAACCCTAGACTAAAAAAAAGTTTATGAAATTCATAGATGACTTAGTTGTAAACCATAAAAGAAACCTTAAATAATTTTAGAAACATATTTACCTTCTAAATAAACTTAAACAAAGATTTAATCAAAGAAAATTTGTACCTTGGTTGTACAGCAGAACTATTGTTTAACCAAAAAATGAAATTTCAGTCAAAGCTTTATTTTTAGAAGAACTCGGGTTACTGATAATCGGAAATGAATAAAAGAAATGGATTTTGATAACCGATAGATAGCAGAAAACAAAGTAAACCAGTATATTCACATGATATTGTGTGTCTACAAATGATCAGTCTTCTCCCTTTTATAGCTATTTTTAAGTTATACGTTTTGCCTTTGTCATAATAAGGTCATTATGGACGATTAAAGGCATTAAATGCTACGTTACATATTATTGCAATTTAATACAGATCCTCTAACGTTTTCAGTATTTAATGCTTATTAAATACTGTATCTGGGCTATCCTGTGTTGTCAGGTTCATTCTTCCCAGCTTTTAGACTTAAATAGGTACGAGCAACGAGTCTTTTAAATATTTGCCTGTGCCTCTTCTTGTGCTTCCGCTCGTATCTGTTGCAACTCGTGCCTCATTGCTTAATCACCATTCTTTGACCTGCCTACGTGTCATGACATGTCATCTTTCCATCACTTCGATATGCATGAACTCAGTTTTACCCAATACAGATAGTCCCCCCACTTGCCATTTATTCATCAACTGAATATTTAGGAAGTGAATTTCATTTAAGCGGGAATATTTACCGCCATTAATGCTATGATAGAATCGATGCTTCAATTGTCACTTCCATTTAATGCTCGTTACACGTGGCGCCCTCTTATTGGCTCTACAACTTTGCAGCGCCTTTTAAGGCTTTTTTTCGGCTTCACTAATCACGAAGCGACAGTTCTCATTATGACCTTTCCATCATTGTACCTTTTCCTTTGACGGTTGCTTCCCAGTATAAATTTAGTTTTGTGCCTTTATCTTTTCTTCATGAAGCTTTCAGAATATTCAATTCTTGTTTCTATCTTCCTCGTAAAACTCTTAGAATATTCAATTCTTGTTCTTTACCTTCCTCGTACTGCCATGGCTTCGCCAAACCCTAACCCTAGGAAAGTCTCCATAGTTGAAAACTTTCCTTCTGCTCCTAATAGAAGTAGAAGAGGGGGTAGTAGACAACGTAATTTAGGGTCTTCATCCAGTTCTGGCCCTTCTTCTAGAACCAGAGGTTCTATTTCACATAGATCTTCCTCTAGAGGTAAGGAGTCCTCTGAGCCTCTTCGTGAACCTTTAGTAGAGGAGATAATTCCTGCGGGATTTTCCTTCTATAGAGAGTCTCTTAGAAACCAAGTATCTTCCTTAGATCATGCTGATATTTACCCAACTCAGATCATTGAAGGTCTGATTCCTTTAGTTTGTAAAGACTGTCATTGGAGTCAGGATTTTCCCATCAAAATCCCTAATGCGAACCAAAGAATCACCTCTTATTTGACGGGATTTTCCTTTGTTTATACATATCCTTTTACCTTGGGATTCAAACCTGCTATTGACCCTGTCATCCTAGAATTTTATCGATTTTTCGACGTATGTTTAGGTCAGATAGGCCCTATTGTATGGAGGGTTGTTGCCTGTTTGAGGCATTTGAGCAATGTGGCCGGTGTGCCTTTCACTTTCTCCCATCTAATTCATCTTTACTCCCCCAGACTTTTTCGCAATGGCATTTTCACTTTAGTAGCTAGGAGCAAAAGAGTTCTGGTTAGTCCAGAGGATGACAGAGACCGTGGCTGGTATGCCCGGTTTGTTGCTGCCCCCACCGTTGGTTTGGTGGGTGAGGAAAATATTCCCTTTCCCGAAAAGTGGAATTTTGCACGTGAGTAATTTTCTCGTACCCTTTTTCCCCTTTAATTTTGATGACTATTTATTTTAATTTTCCTTTTCCTTTTCAGCAACCATGGGAATTGTGGATGATATTCCCAATTTCCGTGTTTGGATAGGAAAAATATTGAATGCTGCTCCAATGGAGGGTAGGTCTTGGAAGGCTCTTTCCCAACGATTTGGTTGGAAAGTAAAAACTCACGGTAAGAGTTTTTTTTTATTTCACATATTACTTTTTTCTCTGAACTTATTTTAATCCTTCTTTTTATCAGGATTTGCAATTCGAGGGATTACTGCCGAGGCGATCGCAGCTTCTCGTATCTCTTTGGAAAAGGCCCAGGAAATAATTTTGGGTTCTTCATCGAAAAGAAAAGCCGTTGATGGCCAAGACTCTGAAGAGGAGGAAGATGAAGGTTCATTGATAATGAGGCCGCGGGCTCGTAGACGTATTATCTCTGATGATGAAGCATCCCCCCGCCATTCTATTCCTCTCACCGAGTCTATTGAAGCCCAGGTGGTGATCCCTGATGATGATGTTGATGATGTTCCCGCTGCTGCTCATGATTCTGTTGAGCAGCTTTTTGATCGCGGGTTTGGTAGTGAAGATTTTGGTCCGGTTTCTGATGATGCACCCCTGGCTTCTTTTGCCACTTCCATTCCCGTGACTCCTTCTTTGCCAATCATGGTTGTTTCTGTTTCTCCCAAGGTTGTTTTTACCACTTCCACTGTTCCTCCTTCAACGATTACTTCCACTGTTCCTCCTTCAACGATTCCTCCTCCACCTGTTCATCATACTGAGGTTGGTTCCTCAAGTAGAGATATTGTTACGAAGCAAGTCACCATTGAAGTCCCTGCTGAGGGTAACCTTTTAAGGAAATCAAGTCAAGCAGACGTGTGGCTAAAGCCTTTGATTGGTCCAGTCGAAAAGGCTAAGCTTGAGAGTCACAGTTCTTTGACCTTGATGAATGACATAGTGCATGCTTCTTTAAAGGTACTCCTTTTTTCAAACTTTATTTTATCCTTCTCCTATTTTCAGGATTCTCATCTTCCCTTTTCCTTTAGGTTAATTTAATTGGCACAAAGATGATGAAAAGAGTTACCCTTTTAGAGCAATTAATGCGTGAATATCAGATGGAGGCGGATAATTGGAAGGGACAGTGTGACAGTCTTCAAATTGATATGGAAACCTTAGAAGAAAGGAGAAGTACCTTGGAGCAGCAGGTAAGGGTCTTGACTTCAGAGCTGGCAGTTGTAAAAGCTTCTTTAAGTCAAGCAAGTAAAGAAACGTTACGTCTTGAAACCTCTTTTTCTGAGCAACTTTCCAAGGCTAGTGAGGAGATTAGAGAGTTGAAGGCTCTCTTGGCTGAGAAAGAACCATATGCTGGAGAACTTGTGCAAACACTGACACAAACTCAAGAAGACCTTCGGGAATCTTCTGATAAGGTTCGCTTTTTAGAGAGTTCTCAAGTTGCTCTCCAAGCTTCTCAGGAATCTGCCTTAGCTGAAAACGAAAAATTAAGAAATGAAGTTGCTGATTGGGAAAGAGACTATGAGATCCTTGAAGAGAAATCTGCCATTGAAGTGAGTTGGTGTGACGACCCGGCCCGTCGTCACGTGAGTTATCGCCCCGTTTCCCCCATTTTTTGCTTTGTTATGTTTTATTATAAGAGTCTTGAGTGAATGAGTTGATTTGGATTGGTTTCGGATGGAAATGAGACATATAGTCTCTTTAAGGAAGGTTTGTATTGGAAAAGTCAACCGGATGTTGACTTGTGAGTTAGAGGGCTCAGATGTAATTTCCGGTGATTTGCTTAGCTTCGGGGGATGATTTGTGATTTAGGAGCGTGATCAGAATTGATTTTGGAGGTCCGGTGTGGCGAAGTTAGTATTTTGGCGAATTCCGGTTGATAGGTGAGATTTTGATCTGAGGGTTGGAATGTAATTCCAAGAGTTGGTGTAGCTTCGTTAGGTGATTTTGGATGTGTGTGCAAAATTTCAGATCATTCGGAGGTATTTTGGTCAGGTTTTTTATCAAATGCGTAATTCGGAAGTTTTAGAAGAACTTAGGATTGAATCCGATGTAATTTGATAGTTTTGGT